TAGGCTGCAGCAACTGACTCACATTTATGACGGTCACAGCATCCCGGGGTCAAATGATCCCCTTTTACGACAAGCAAAGTCAATGGGAAACCCAGAGTCACTTAACAACCGGGTTACTAGCTTAACAAATGCAAGGATTCCTTTAACGGCGGCAAGAGAAGTTGTAAAATGGGACAAAACTCACTTAACAGAGATTTTGGGCTCATACATTGAGGACTAACTAGAATTCCTTTTAAGCAGCGTAAAAACCTGGTAAATCGTAATTGGCTTCTTTTGCTTATGATATTTAATTGTGCTATCCAAAACAATTCAGAGCTATCTGCTGCTTGGACAGACAGGTTGTTCTCGGGCCTGAGAACTGAAACTTGAAAATGATTTTTATTAGGCTATGTCAGTGTTTCCCAAACTTGACAATTTTAAGGCATGTGGACTTCAACTCCCAGAATTCCACAGCCAGCATTGCTGGCTGTGGAATTCTGGGAGTTGAAGTCCTCATGCCTTAAAATTGTCAAGTTTGGGAAACACTGGGCTATGTCTTTGTTTATTAGAGTTTAAAGAAGCTGCGTTGAGTTTTGCTGATGACAGCCACAGCTGTTGCTGAAGCTAATAAAATACAATCTAGGAAGGTCTTTCTGTATTGGATAAAAACGCAAACTTTGATTAAAGTGAATGCACGGGCCCCCAAATGTGTCCAGCAGGGCTACTAATTCTTTCGTATCTAATGAAACAACCCCTTGAAATGGCTAAGCAGACCGTCTTGATTATAACATACGAGAAGAAAAAGTAGAGTCATTGTTTATACCGAGGCTTTTTATGGAGTTGTAGAGAAAGTTGTAGAGAATATTAAGATGTATTTGTTAGATTCACCCACCGCTCTGTCTTTCGTTGTTAGACACACTCATAGATCTGCCATTCCATTCCTTCACATTAATTTTCTCCAAATGCTTAATTATCTTTTCAAATGATCTTTTAGGTTCTGGAGATCCGAAGCAAAATTCTATTCTTGACCTCTCCTCACTTATTCTCAACATAATTAGTGTTACAGAACAGTTTTTCTCAACCGTGACGACTTGAAGCCGCGTGGACTTCAACTCCCAGAATTCCTCAGCCAACAGAATTCTGGGAGTTGAAGTCCAAACATCTTTTAAGTGGCTAAGATTAAGATATAATGGCTTGGAACAGGCTTCGTTTCCTTCTCAAATTTGAAAAACAGGACGCTGGCCTTCCTATGGGTTCGTTCCTTGAAGAACGAAAGGTAGTCCTGAATTTACGACCACCGTGGACCCCAGAATTTATGTTGCTAAGTGAGAAATTTGTTTCAGGGAGCTTTGCGCCGTTTGACGACTTTTCTTGCCACATTTGTTAAGTTGTTGAATTCGGAACACGGTTGTTAACTGAATCTGATTTCCCCATTGGCTTTGCTTGGCAGAAGGTTGCAACAGGACATTGCCACCGTCGTAAATGTGAGTCAGTTGTCAAGCATCCGAATGTAAGTCACGTGATGCAATGGCAGCGGTAGGATTCAAATAGGGGAACAACCGGTTCTCTGTGTGGATGCCGCTTCTGGAAGTCCATTCTGGGCCTGGGCAACAAAAAAATTAGCTACCGGTTCTGCCGAAGTGGTGTGAACTGGCTGAATCCCACCATTGTGCAACGGTCATAAGTGTGGAAAATAGTCATAAGTCACTAAGCAAGCTGTTTTAAGTTGAGGACATACCTGTAGATTGCTAGTTTGGTACAGCGAAACTTTCATGACCATGTGCACTTGTGAAAGGAGCAGTCTGGGTGGTGATCCGCTTGCTTTCTGGCAAGTATTTCTAATTGTTTTCGTTTTTTCTGGATTTCCCCTCGAAACAATACAAATAACCCTGAACGTTTTACAGAAAGGAAGAGCAGATGGATGTCTGTCTGTGACATTTCAGTCTTCCTTCAGTCGTTTTATGGTGCTTATCTTGCTAAAAGCGGAAACTCAGAGTCTGTTTTGAAACAAACATTCTGAAGGGAAGAAGGAATATTTTCCTGAATGAAAATCCCATTAAGTCCAAATGGCTGCTTATAATTATGCAGTTGAGCAGTAGGGTGGATACTGCTCTGCCGGTCTCTCGGTAGCGATCTGGGAAGCTAATTTTATTTTTCTGCAGGCTAGATTTTCATTGTGCTTATCCAAGTGGGAGGAAAAAATAAGGCAAAGTGAATTAGGGCTGCCTTTTTTCTTTTTTAAAAAATTGCCATAAAGGCAGTTACTGCTTCTTATCTTTTGGGCATATTTGCCTGGCACGGTTGGAGTCGTAGTAATCGCAGTGCAATCTGTTTTGATTAACAGAAGAATTCTACAGAAAAACAGAATGGCAGAGTTGGAAGGGACCTTGGAGGTCTTCTAGTCCAGCCCCCTGCTCGGGCGGGAAACCTTATACCATTTCAGACAAATGGTTGTCCAGTCTCTTCTTGAAAACTTCCAGTGTTGGAGGATTCACTACTTCTGGAAGCAAACCATTCCCCTGGTTAATTGTTCTCACTGTCAGGAAGTTTCTCCTTAGTTCCAGGTTGCTTCTCTCCTTGATCAATTTCCATCCATTGCTTCTTGTCTTGCCTTCAGGCGCTTTGGAGAAGAGGCTGACCCCCTCTGTTTAATGTCAACCCCTGAGATATTGGAAGACTGCTATCATGTCACTCCTAGTCCCTTTTTTCATTAAGCTAGACATATCCAATTCCAGCAACTGTGCTTGTTGGTTTTGTGTGGTCATAGGAACATTTCTGGCAGTAGATGGATGTGAACCAAGAAGGATGCAAACGTTATAATCTATGGAGGAATAAAATACACATTTGGTGGTTCAATTTTGGGAAACGTCTATGCAATCCAGCCTGTTCTGGCACATGTTTAAGAAACCAAGTGTGCATTGTCCCTTCCATAATCAGTCACATATGGCATTAGTTACTGGGGTCTGAAAAATGTATATAACTGTAAGGAGCAGACATCCTAGTTAAGAAAGGGGTTTATATCAATTGGAACATAGGAGCAGCTTTTGAAAATAAAATATTGTTGTGGTTAGGAATGATCCTGGACTGAATCCCCAGGCAAGTCTGGAAAATAAAATAAAATAAAATAATAAAATAATAAAATAAATAAATAAATAAATAAAATAATAAAATAAATTAATAAAATAAATTAAAATAATAAAATAAAATAATAAAATATAATAAAAAACAAAAATAATTAAAAATGCAATAATACAATAAAATAAAATTAGAATAAAATAAAATAATAAAATAAAATAAAAACAATAATAAATAAAATAAAAAATAAATATAAAGGCTTTTTGGATCAAGATTTGGTGGAATATTCAAAAAATTTTTAATAGAAAGATAAAATTCACACCACAATTATTTTTGTTAGGTATTATTGAAGATTGTGATGGTAAAGAGATTATTTTAATGTTGAATTTTATTACGGCAGCAAGGTTATTGATTGGGCAATATTGGAGAAAAGACTTCTTGCCTACCTTAGAGGAATGGTTTCTTAAAGTTTCTTATTAATCAGAAATGGCAAAAATATCGGCTTATCTGAAAGACCATTCACAAGAGAGATATAACTCTGTATGGAAAAGATGGGTAAATTTTGTTCAGAACAAATATGGGATTAGAAAGTATTATTTAGCTTTTGAATAACTTATTGTATATAGTTGTTATGTTTAGATTTGTTGATTTTATTGTAATGGAGTTAAAGGGGTTTAATAACTTTTTAGGGTTTATGTACAGTTGTATGTTCATTTAATTTTTTATGTTTTTTTTTTTTAGCTCTATTCAGCTCTGGGAAGGGGAGGGTTAGTGGGAGGGGGGAGGGAGAGAGGTGGGGAGGGATTTTACTGTAAAATGTTTATAAAAATTTCAATAAAAAAATAAAATAAAAATAAAATAAAAAATAAAATATAATTAGAATAAAATAAAATAAGTAAAATAATAAAGTAAAATAAAATTAGAATAAAATAAAATAAGTAAAATAATAAAGTAAAATAAAATTAGAATAAAATAAAAAATAAAATAACATTAGAATAAAATAAAATAAATAAAACAAAAAATAAAATAAAATAAATAATAAAATAATAAGTAAAATAAAAATAAAATAAAATTAGAATAAAATAAAATAAGTAAAATAATAATAAAGTAAAATAAAATAAAATAAAATTAGAATAAAATAATATAATAAAATAAAATAAATACAATAATAAATAAAATAAAAAATAAAATTAGAATAAAATAAAATAAGTAAAATAATAAAGTAAAATAAAATTAGAATAAAATAAAAAAATAAAATAACATTACAAAAAATCCACAATCCACTTAGGGCTACGTAGGAACTCTAGGCCAGTGGTGGCGAACCTAGGGCACGCGTGCCAGAGGCAGCACACGGAGCCCTCTCCGTGGGCACGCGCCATCACCCCAGCACATGTGGTCTCTAAAAGTTCGTCATCACTGGCTAAGGCCAGCCAGCCTGGAGCCACCATTGGGGAGCCCACCATCCAACCCGCCAGAGACCCCCTGGATCCCCACCAACCCTGCCCTGTCCGGCAGGTGTCCCTCCCCATAAGCAACATCGAGGTGGCCACGCCCACCCGAATCATGCCCACCCAGTCTGCCATGACTACTGCAGCCACACCCGTCCAGTGGCCACGCCCACCCAGTCTGCCACACCCACAGTAGCTGCACCCGCCAAGTGGGCCACGCCCACCCGGCACCCGGCGATACATAAGTGAGTTTTGGGTTGCAATTTGGGCACTCGGTGTCTAAAAGGTTTGCCAGCACTGCTCTAGGCTGATCCCTCTTTTGACTCCACCCCCGGATTCTGCCATTCCTTCTCTTACAGAACCCTAGCGATAAAGTAAGATCTTTGGGGGCCCTTCCTCCGAGCATCTGACCTTTTATAGTTTTTTTTTAAAAAAAATATTGAAAATGTTTGCGAATTGGTTGTGTCTCCTATTAATCCGAACCCTTTTGTTTATTAGGACCGCCCCAGAGAACTGTGTCTCCTAAACAAGAACACAAAGATGGGAAACACGAAAAGGTGACGGACAAAGGAAGCGAGAGTGGAACTTCTTGCAACGAATTGTCCACCTCCAGTTGCGAGAGTCATTCTGAAGCTGGCACGCCTCAAGAGAATGCTACCAGCACCCAGCAGTCTATAGGCCACCAGCCCAATACTCTGACATTGGATCGCCCATCGAAGAAGGCTCCGGTTCAGAAAATGCCTCCACCAGATAAGCGTCGAAACAGCGAACTTTTCCAGACTCTCATGAGTAAGTCCCGAGAAATAAATCTTTCCAAGAAAAAGATCTGCGAGAAGCTCAGCGTTGAAGAGGAGATGGAAAAATGCATCCAGGATTTTAAAAAAATCCACATCCCTGATGATTTTCCGGAAAGAAAACGTCCCTGGCAATCTGAATTGTTACAAAAATACGGGCTATAGTTTTTCGGTATTGAGTATCCTGTCCGTGGTGCGTTAGGTGTCTATTTCATTGCCGGTTTCTTGTGGGTCTACTCCTCGGAGTTCTGCAGCTTCTTTCTTTCTGTGAACTGGATGTTGGATAGGACATGAGTGGACTATTTTTCTTTCTTTTTTAAAGGATAACAATGAATTAAAAATAAAACCTAGATCCTTTTATAATAGTTAACAAATGCATGGTCAAGACATATGGGGCTTCAGCCTTCTCATCCATGGAATAAATATATCATCAGATCGCTCACCATTTTATACACATAATAGCAGTGATATAAATTTCCAGAGCACAAAAGGATGGGTCTAAGGAAGGGATGGGGAACTACAGCCCCCTTTATGACTTGTGGACTTCAACTCCCAGAATTCCTGAGCCCATCATTTTAATAGGTAAGACTCAGGTTTTAAGGCAGAGGTGGGGAACTATGGCCCCCCCTTATGACTTGTGGACTTCAACTCCCAGAATTCCTGAGCCCACCATTTTAATAGGTAAGACTCAGGTTTTAAGGCAGAGGTGGGAACTATGGTCCCCCTTATGACTTGTGGACTTCAACTCCCAGAATTCCTGAGCCAGCCAAGAATTCTGGGAGTTGAAGTCCACAAGTCACAACATGGCCATGGTTCCCCACCTCTGGTCTGAGGATACAGGGGTAGAATTTGGTGCAAACACATTCTTAAAAGTTAACACAATGAAGGAAGCTTCCATTTTGCATGAGCACAATAGGAACAAGTAGCTCACACAAGAAAGCAAAAGGTTGCGTGCTGCTGGGATAAATATTTTGTTCGTTGCCAAGATGATAACTGTAACATGCCTTTGGAATTGAACCTTAGGAGGATTTGTGTATGGATGTGTGTTTGTTTTGTAAGGATGATGTAAATATGCCTGATATTGTTCAACGATCACACCCGACGTGCATCTAATTACTGTTTGCCAGGGTTATTTCTGTGAAATGCATATATATATATATATATATATATATATATATATATATATATATATATATATATATATATATATATATACATATACATATATCTCAGCGGATTGTGAAACTGATTTGATGATCTGAAAATCTTCTGTTTTCATGTTAATCAGCAATGTTGGAAAAACAAAAATAAACATGATCTTAATGTATTGGTTGAAAGGGACCTACTATTAAACCTTCATGATTATTTAATTGATTGCTGTTTGAACCTTCAAGTACATTTTAAGAAGATTTGACTCACTCTGTTTTGCTACCATATTGTAAATAACATGTTATAGACGAAATGAATAATGCTTGCATTATGAGTTTGAATTTTAATTAAAATGTTCAAGGTAAATTCAACATTAGGAAAAAAAGAGTCTTGTAACATTCAGAATTGTTGTGTTAAAATCTCACCATGAGTGCACAACTGTTATCTGGCAAAGAAACTAGTATTTCTGACAATTGATAGTAAATTCGTAAAGATACTAAATTATCCTTAATAAGATAGTGGCATACATTATACATTTCACAACATATGAACATCAGAATGATACAAAACAATCCAGCAGCAGGTTTTATTATAAATTAAGAATTTGCAGAGACAAGTGAAATATTGCTGTCCATTGAGGTTTTTTTTTTAAAAAAATATATATACAGTTTGTTTTTCTTAATTCTATTGTTTCATGCCTTTGTTTGCAACACTGTTGTATCTTCAACAATTTAGTTCAGCCGATCAGACTTGGAAGAGTTTATTGGTGACATGAGTGTTGAAATATTTTCAGGATATTGAGATTTTGTAGCCTTATTTTGTGAGTTCAACTTACAGGTTTAAAACCACACTTTTACAGTCTTGACCAATTCAATAATCATTGGCCTAGTAATGATGTAAATGTTGTAAAAAAAAAAACCCATGGTGTTGTGGAATCAAATCATCAATATCTGAAATATCCCTCATCTAATTGGAACCCTGCAAGTCCTAGAAAATAAACAAATCAGCATTGTCTCATGCTTAAGTCACACCTCATTAAAGATGTCAGAACAACAACAACAACAACAATAATAATAACAACAACAACAAAATGCCAAATCCAGTCTGAACATCTAGCTGACTGTGCGATGTTCCATAATAATAATAATAATTGGTAAGGATTCGATAGCCAAATCCAGTCTGAACATCTGGCTGATTGTGCGATGATCCATAATAATAATAATAATAATAATAATAATAATAATAATAATAATAATAATAATAATAGAACACCATTGGCATTGACAAATTCGCTATTAGTCAATTGCAAAAGGCGGCCTTACTAGGAACTGCTTCCATCCTGCGACGATATCTGCAATAACATCAAACATCCACATCTGCCTATCCCAGGTCCTGGGTAAGGACTCGATAGGTAGACAAAATGCCAAATCCAGTCTGAACATCTGGCTGACTGTGCGATGATCCATAAGTAGTAGTAGTAGTAGTAGTAGTATCAATAGTAATAGGCTCCTTGGGTGCAATCCCAAAACAACTGGAGCACCACTTGAACACCATTGGCATTGACAAATTTGCTATTAGTCAATTGCAAAAGGCGGCCTAACTAGGAATTGCTTCCATCCTGCGACGATACCTGTAATACCATCAAACATCCACATCTGCCTATCCCAGGTCCTTGGGAAAGACTTGATAGGTAGACAAAAATGCCAAATGCGATGATTAATAATAATAATATTGGAAGGAACCTTGGAGGTCATCTAATCCAACCCCCTGCTCAGGCAGGAAACCCTATACCATTTCAGAACAAGGTTTAGTCATAACTACGTAATTGAAACCCAAGGATTTCAGTGGATAAATTCTAACTATGATTACGTATCACTCAAAATCTCCTCCCTTTCTCTTCATTTTTGCTTTCATTTTTCTTTTCCTTGTACAGGCAGTCCTCGAATTTACAACAGGATTACACTCCCTTACCTTCTGGGTTTAATCATTTCTCAAAATGTAATTGTTGCTCAGATGGTCTTTGAAAAGGCAGCGTCAGATCGGTGTACTGCCTCTTCCCGCACTGCAGTGCGCACAAAGCACACAACTTACTGTATAACTGAGGAAGAAAGAGCAGACGAGAGAAATGCGATGTGTTTGGGACAATATATATATATATAGAAATGTAGTTTTTGGCTTCAGTTAATTCCGTGCAATTCCTTTCCTCCTAGCTCCATTTGCGGCCTGCCAACATTCACCGATCCAAGCGATTGTTTTGTCTTGTTTTTATTTCCCAGTTTTTGCTTCCTCCTGTTGGAGAGTTGCCAAGTTCGCAAGATTTTAGCGGCAAAGCCGATCTTAATCCTTTCTTGGCTGATTTACAATTTCTATTAATAAAAAAGACCCAGCTTGATTTTCCTTGCTTATATAAATAGCGTACACTTTCCTCCAACAGAGAAATGAATGGTAATGTTCTTTGCAAAGACATTGTAGGCCGCACAAGCACGGGCGCTGTAGTTTCTGACAAGAAATGTCACAAGGATGAGAAAACGGGAAGGTTTTTTTTGAGGGAAATAGTATCAGAAAAAAATGTTATTCCACAAGTGAGACAATCAAAGGCAGGGGTCTTCAAACGTGGCCCTTTTATGACTTGTGGACTTCAACTCCCAGAAGTCCTCAGCCAGGCACGAATTGACTAGAATGCAGCATTGCAGGTTGACTCTGCCCACCACCAGCAGTTCGATCCTGACCAGCTTAAGGTCGACTCAGCCTTCTATCCTTCTGAGGTTGATAAAATAAGGACCTGGATTGTTGAGGGCCCATATGCAGACTCTGTAAACCGCATAGAGAGGGCTGTAAAGCACTGTGAAGCGATATATAACTCTAATGCTATTGCTATCTTCCTCCCTCCCTCCCTCCCTCCCTCCCCCCTTCCTTCCTTCCTTCCTTGAATGCTCTAAATCAGGGGCCCCCAACCACTGGGCTGTGGCCCATTTAGAGCCAGGCAGCACCAGTGTGGGTGAGTGTGAGTGTGGGTGCATCTCTGCTCACGTGATTGGCGGGCACTGCCCGCTCACACAAATGAAGCTGTGCACACGTGCGTGCCTGCCCCTCATGCAAAACCGTCCCTTTCCTCCCCCACGCTGGATCACCAAAGTTGGGGACGCTGCTCTAAATTGAAGCAATGCCAACCTTTTAAGGGAAAAAAATGCTATTTTCAAGGATTTGGAAACCCTGATCCAAAGAACTTTTTTTTTTTTTTTGCAATAGTGCAGTCAAATTGCTTGGACTTAAAATAGCTAAAAGACTCCTGTTTAAAATTACTTTGCTCTTTTTATTGGCGTGGTGTTAATTCAGGCTCTTAGATGTAGCATGAATAATTGAGAAAATTACCCATTTTTTTTAGTAAGGGAAATTTAATTTAAGCAACGATCCAGGAAAGTAAAAACTCAGATATTTATTGTATCACCGGCATTTGTAGGGTAGGTTTTTCCCCACTGCTCCCGTGACAGGTTAACATACCACTGAAAATTATTTCCAGCAATAACACATCTGTCAACCCTGCTAACATTGGATGTTTTTGCTTTGACAACAGATGGAGGTGTGACCATTTTCTTTTTATGTTTTACTCTTGGAGTTAGAGCTAGAGTTAGATGATACTGGGGGCAGGAATCTGCATGAGAGTTTAGCTAGACATAACAATACTGAACCTAGTGTGAGAACCAAGGTTATTGAAATAAGAGATGATAAGAATTGGCGGCTGGAGAACTGGAGGGGAAGCCTGCATTTCAAACTAATTGGAAAATGTGATTTATGACAGTTAATTGGAGGAGGGAATTGTGCTTTGATATTATGTGTTCAGGGGAGGGGAATCCAGTTTTTGGCTTCGACTGTGTTAGTGCCGATGCTATGCTTCTCAAATAAAGATTCTTTAAGGTAAACAATGCCTCAAAGTTCTTTGAAGAATTTCATCTGTCGGAACCATGACGACATCATTCTAAACCCAGATGCAAAATCTTCTTTTGCCCTCTGCTTTACCCAGGAAAAGTAATTGTGCAATTCCCTTTTGTTCTGTTTCTTTTATTGGGAAAACAAAGAGAGGTGAACTGGATGATAATCACATCACTTAATAATTTCCACTCCTAACAATAAAATATCTGGTGGCCTGAAAAAGGGAGGAAATACTTTGGAGCAATTCCTTTTTTTTCAAAAGAGATCCATTATTAATAAATCTCAAAAGTATCATCACAACCGTCTCCACTCTTTCAAAGAGCAAATATATGTTTCTTTCTCCCATATTTGGGCCGACAGGGTGCATCAAAAAACACTCAAGGTAAATCTCCTTCCCCTGTCTCTTCCCTCCCTGTCTCTTCCCTCCCTGATACAGCTGACAAAGTGAAAAAGAGCCTGTGACCTAGAGTTAATACAGCTGCCTAACATGCACACAGCCCAGGTTCGAATCTCAGAAGGGTATGTCTGGCTGAAGACATACTATTTTTTGGCTTCGCATTCTATTCCAATGAGAATGCGAAGCCAAAAAATAAAATAAAAAAAATAGCAAGGCAGCCCACCATCTTAAATCCCCCTGCAACTCAGACTAACCTGAGCACAACAAAGCCCCCACCCAAACAGAACACTCTCCCAGCCAATCAGAGCACAGCCAACCTCCCAGCCAATCAGAGCACAGCCAACCCCCCAGCCAATCAGAGCACAGCCAAGCCCCTAACCAGACAGAACACACCTCTACCCAATCAGAACACAGCCAAGTTCCCACCCAATCAGTTCATACCCCCACTGGCAGTTAAAAGGAAGAAACAGCTAAGACCACACATTGCTCCTCGAAGCACGAAGCTGAAAGCACCAGCCTGAAGATGACGAATGGGACTTTGTCGAAACGTCGCCAAGACACTTCCAATTTTACGTGGGAGAAAACCCGAACAACCAAAGACCTACATATATATATATATATATATCTCCATATTTCTTTTTCTGACAAAAAGACAAAAAGATTGT